TATGCTGGCCCTTGTTCTTACCAACAAGGAAGGGCTGGTAGACAGTGTCAAGCTCAAGGGTAGCCTGGGCTGTAGTTGTTGCAAGGAGGGACTGAAAAACATGAAAGTGAAACTTGTGAAACACTGCTGAGCTAGGAAAGACTGAGACTCCGTCATGGTTATGGGTGCACAGGTCCTTTTCTGGAGGGGAAGCACAGAGCCAACAGCTCTCAGAGAGAAGGTCAAGAAATACAGAGATAGCAAGTGAATTGCTGCAAATCACACTGAGTTGGAGACTAAAAAACTCTATTTGTTTTAATGAACTCTGCAAAAATGGAGGGGAAATGAAGAAGGAATGACAATCTGTAAAAAGTAAAAAGCACGAGCTACCGACGTGCACTTGTCTTTGGCTTTGAAGGAAGACTGCACAGACTGTGAAGGAAAGCCTGGGAAAGTTGAGAGAAGGGACAGAAGGAAATAGGAGATCTTAGAAATGAGCATCAACAAAACTGTGAAGAGCTTGATCTACTCAAATTAGTTAGCAGGTTGTCTGCAGCCCTGTTCAGCAAAATTTGGGCACAATTCTGGGGCACAGGCATATTGCTACATAGGCTCCGCTTCAGTATTTCGAGCACTATCAAACCCTAGGCCACTACTGGAAATACTGAAATGAAGAGATGGTGTTGAAGAGACTATTCTTACCTGTGAACATCTGAAGAAGGCAATAGGATGGCAGGACCCCTGAGGTTGGGGTTTACATGGATTTGGTGCATAACTGGGGGCATGACCGTGCCCTCCGCTTTGGAGAGTATTTATAATGTACTTTACATGATAATGGCAGTTCATTATTAATATTTCCAGCTCACAGTGTGTTAAGGATACCCTCCTCCAAGCTCCCCATTTTCCACTCTGCTGGAATGTTTGACCCATGAAATCACCAGCAATACTCCCATTTGGCTGCATTCCTGGACAGATGCTGCATTGTTCAAGAAGGGGTGAGGCATGTCCGATTAATCTGTGCTCAGAGAGGCTGACTATTGGGATTAGTGCTTCAGACACTCTTAACATCTGCAGCTCCAGGACAGCCCCAAATTCATCAGCACTGGAAGCCGGAGGGTAGCAGCAAGGCTGGTAAGAGCTCTTATGAGGGGGGGTTACCTATTGAATTACCAATGCCAGGTAGCAAGACAAGAGGGAGCTTTTATGGGAGATGTGGCAGCCATGCCATTATCTTGGTACTTCCAAATCTGTCATATGGTTTCTTGGCTGTGTCTGTGATTCCCAAGACTAAGGAGGGTGGTGGTGTTGTGCAGAGGGAGCAAGGCTGAGAAGCCAGGGAGAGGGCTGGAAGGACCCTGCAGAGCTGGCACAATGGAAACGTGTCAGCCCTGAAGGTGTCGAAGCTCTGGTTCTTTGTGTTTGGGAGGTGGGGTGAGAATGGCCGTGGGCTTGCAGTAAACCCGAAGTGCTGACAAACCAGAGGTAGAGGAGAGAAAATGTTACTGGGGAATTATCTCTTGTGGGTACTGTGATTTATCTCCCTATCTGAAACCCGTCCCTCCCTGCTGCTCTGCTTATCTGAGCTGGGCTTTGTTACTCTGGGCTTCCCTCTGTGCTCTGACTCCATTTTTTTGCTGCACCAACCTTTTGTTTCTCCTCATCACAGGGTTTTATAAGCCTGTTGTTTGTGGGGACAGGCAGCACAGGGGATGAGAAGATGGGGATGATAAGAGACTTCTGAGCAGCCATGGATGGGTTACAGCTGCGGGTAAGGCTCACCTCCTGCAAATCATAACCTTCCACCATCCTTCAGTGTCCCCAGTAGCTAAGGGGAAAGAAAATACCAGCTCCATCTACATCTAGCACGCCTGTTAGCTGGGAATGACTCCCTTGTCTGCCACTGCAGGGGAACTCCAGAAGTCTGTTCCAGATTAAGCCCAGAGAGTGCCTGAGCTCCTGGTTTAAGCTCCCCCACCTCCTCTTCATGCAAACAGCTCAGCCTGCCCCCTCCCAAGCCCGCCCAGGGACAGCCAGCTGGAGGCAAGCAGGGGCTGTCCATCTCATGAGTTAATCGCCTCCTGTTCAGATGTCAGGAGGAGATGAAGCTGCTATAAATAGATTGCGAAGCCCTCATGATTTCAGCTGTGATTCACACACATGGTAGAGAAGCATTAGGAAGAATTAACATTCAATCGCTTAGGCACTTTCCTGAGAGCAAATGCCATTCTGTCCCTGTCACTTAATCTCCTTGCCCAGAGGAGGTCAGCAGCGCTTTCTGGAGGGTCTGAATGGGTCAAATGGACAGGGAACCTCCAAGCAGAACTGCTGGGGATCTAAAAATGGCCATTTCAGTCCAAGTGACTGAGCAGCACCTGCCCATGATACACAGCTGCATTTAGGATCATGGCAAGGCACTCTTCTGCCTTACTGAGGCTGAGATCAGGTGGTGTGATTTTGTTATGGTATGGACACGTTGGGATGCCTGATAACAGCCCCTGGGACTGAGACGACTTCTGACAATGGTATGTGCAGGGGACTGGGGCTCTTTCTGGCTCTCCCTAAGGGGTGTTGAGCTGTGTCTCTGGCAGAGCAGCTCACAGGATCTGTGGTAGTCTGCCTAGGTGGGCATGGTGGGACAGGACAGTGTACCTGGCTGGTCTATGTGAAATCCCATTTCTCCCCTTGCCCCCGATTTTTCAAAGTTCAGGGGGAAAAAAACGTAGCATACAGCTAACCTACCCATGGGAAGCTGTGTGTACTTGTTCCTGCGTGTGTTTGCGTTCATTTGTATGTGTCTAAGTGCTTGGTAGCCTCCTTCCCCCTGCCTTGCTATGTTTATGCTGTTAGCAGTGATGGTCACTAAGCAATGTATGTGAGATGGAGAAATCAGCTGAAAAGGAGGTGAAACCAGACAGGTCCTGCAGTGGGAAGTGTGAGGAGTCTGTAGGTATCTATCCATCTGTTTGTCTGACAGTCTCCCAGGTACAGGAAAGAGTAGTATTTTTCTTAAAAGGTAGCTTAGAGGGTAGAGCTTTTCCTCAGGGTGATGAATATTCCTCACACTTTTGCACATTTGGTGCCCTGTCAATAAAAGAGAGATCCATGTCTCTAGTTTCATAGCATTGCCACGGTTCATTGTTTTGTCACTAGATTATGGGTCAGACAATAAAAGAGACATTTGGGGCACTCATCATCTGCAAAAAGTAAAGGAGAGTTTGGACTAAAGGATAAGAGTTCAGTGTTGGTATCTTTGGGTCCTTGGTTAGTGGTCTAGGGAGTCTAGACTTCACAGGATGAGGTGAAAATAATTTCTTTTCACTCTGCTCTTACGGACCCAGGTATCAGGGCTTCTCAGTGAAGCAAGGAAAGAGGCAGAAAAATGGTCAGAGGAACTGCAAGTTGGTGGGGGAGTCACCTTATTATGATGGGACTAAATCCAAGAAATTCACCCCATGACTATTCCAGGGCAAAGAGGGCCCCATCCCACTCCTTGCTGCAGGAAAGCAGCATCTCATTGCAGCTCTAGGCAACATCCTTCAGTGTAAACTGAAGCCTGCCTACATGGGGGTGACTGAAGAGATACACAGGTTTCTCCTTCTGTGGATATGATCTCCTGCCTACTAAGGTACAGTATCAGGTTGTGTATATGTAAACCAAGCTGATCAGTGTCAAAATGGCATTGCCCTATTCAGGAACAGATGTCACTTAATCTGATAGCTGGAATACAGACTGCTTGTGTGCTCTGGCAGGCTCAGGTCTGAGTGAGTCCGCAGAAACCTGTATGGTCTTAAGCCATCCTTGAAGTCTTAATTACATTATGGAAGAACTTGAAGTAGCTGCCTTCAGAAAGCTATGTGGGAATGTCTGAACAGGCTAAAGGGCTTCAGAAATAATTGTGACATATTTCTGTTACTGTAGATAAAGTGGAATTGCAGTGTAGAGTTTCAGCAGGGGCTAGATTCCCCAGCTGGATCCTTACAGAGCCACAGAATAATGTGTAAGTCTGCAAGCGGCTCTGCAGATTCCCTTGTTGTGAGTGACAAGGCTTATCTGACTCGTAGAAGATCTTGCATGAACTCTCCTGTATCTCAAAAAAAGAAGAAAAGGGTCCATGTGGAAATCTAATTTAGTCTGTCTGTCCTACAAGTGAGTCCAGACAACCTGAAACAGCTTTGGAACGTGGACCATATTAGATGCAAATGGCAGGCCACGTGTTTTATAACATTAATTGCCAAACTTTCAAAAGCACCCTATTGACCTCCTACAGTCAGTGAAAGAGCACAGCTCATGCCTAGGCACCTAATAATTTGTCATCTATTCCTTGTTTTTCTTCAACATTTATATGACAGTATCATCAACCTGGGTGGTCTCCAGTGTTGTGAGAGCTGCACAAACCCAAAATATTAGCCAGTTTTCCAAAACATGGCATCTGTAAATGCCAAGCTTACAGATGGTACATGATATAATGGGAATTACAGGCATGAAATAGAAGGGTAAGGGCAGTATATGGTGAAAAAATCCATCATTCTTCTATAAAAGCTGGATCTGCTCAGATGATCTGGCAGCCATGAACAGATGCTGGACTCTGGATAAAAAGGGTTGGAAAGACATCCAGGAAGAAGTCACGACAGTTGAGAAGGGAGGAAATGAGAGCTTTAACAGAGAATCCTGCCAGCCTGGGCTGATGAGGTTCACCTGCAGGGAGGGAAAAAGGCAAAAGGAACAGATGGTTTTCTTCTACAACAACTAACATGGCTGGAGAGTAATGTCTCACAGGGGTCATTGGAAAACAAGGAGTCATCTCTGGTTCCAGTTGTTTCAATGTGGTCTGGTATGTCCAGCTCCGGTGCCTCAATAGTACTGGAATTAGCCCATGTCCCTGCAGCAGCTTTATTCTCCAGTGTCGTGTGCTTCTTTTATCTAGCTGATATGCATGAGAGGGAGTTTTTCTCTCTCTAAGATCATATCTTTTCTGTTTACAGCAGGCATCCAGCAGCCGGAGCCTCCTCAAGCTCGCAGTTATGGAGGTGAAGTGGATTCACGTGTTGGTCATCTTCTTCTTCCTGCTGTCTGTTGCGATGACGGGCTGCTTTCTCTGGCAGTACAGCCTGCCCAAGGTGGAGCCCAGTGAGTAGTGTGGTCATGGTTTGGCACAGAAATTTGTAAGACCAATAAATGCCTTTCTCCTCATGTGGACATTTTTACCCAAAGACCATTTCCCCAAACATCACACAAATTTACCTCCTCCTAGCTGGTGCAGGGACACACAGGAGATGGACACTGGGTTGATGGAGTACCATGTAACTCTGTTGGTGTCCAGAGAAGCTCCATTACTTCTGTCACTAACCTAAGTTAATTGATACACCAAGGAGACATTTTATTTTACATTCTCTATCTTTTTTGGCATCCTGTTGTAAAAGTCATTCCAGTTCAGAATGGATTTTGTTTTACACCTTACCATGTGCTTCAGCTTACGGCTTTGCTTCATTTCCTACTCCCTTAATCTTAGATCTTTGAATGGGCTCAAGCCCCTGATTTACACTAAAATTCCCTTATGTATGATCTATCAACAGATAGACTCAAGGCACTGTATGTGCAAGGGCGAAATACATAGAGTGTAACTGGATCAGAGTTTCAAGTAGACCAAAGGTGGCATAAAATCCATGGTGAAGGTGCCAGAAGTACTTCATAGACCAATGTCTGAAAACATTTCAGACCCTACATTTTTATCACAGAGTATCAGAGGCTGCCTATAGGCTCTTGTTTATCCATCCCTATTCATCTCAAAGTTTTAATAGTGCTTTTTCTCTTTTCATCTGTATTTCTAATGTTTCATGCTCAGTTGGCAAGTGAAAAGGTAAATAAGCATTTTGTTTACAGCTTACAGAGCAGAGAATCACACAGAATCACAGAATCACAGAATTTTCAGAGTTGGAAGGGACCTATAGAGATCATCTAGTCCAACTCCCCTGCTAAAGCAGGATTGCCTAGAGCACATTACTCAGGACTGCATCCAGATAAGCTGTGTTTATACACACTTCTGGATCAACTGGGAAAATAGTGCCTCCAAGGAAGAGACTTCCCATCTCTTACTAAATTTAAAGATCTTTGCCTGCCACAAAAATTCAAGATACGTCACTGGCATATGCAGAATACAGCTAATTCAGAAGGTAGCTAGTAGACTAAGTATGCAGCCTATCAACTGTTGTTATAGTGTTAGATTTCAGGTAGCACTCATAATTCACTTTTACATCCATTTTCTGAGGTTACAATATGCATGGGACAACTGTGTCCTCCTGAAGCCAAACTCAGACTTTCCCCTAGACATGGGCAGGGCACTTTCATGGGGTCTAAATCCAGTCAGGTACCCTACAGAGTCTTCTGTAGTCCCGGTTGCTTACTCTTCAAGGTTGCAGAGTCAGTTGAAGCCTATTGCAGCTCCTGTCCGTCCCGTGTGTTATACCATGTCGGAATAGGCAATACCAGAGCACAGTGCCCTCTTCAGGTCCTGTTTTATGTGAAATAGAAACAATGCAAGGTTGTTGCTTTGCCTATGCAGAAGTGTCCTTCAGCTTTGGACAACACAAGCAAGAAAGATAGTGCTGACTGCTGGATGAGCTTAAAGATTGTTAGTGTGCCTATTCAAGTTGCATATGCTATCTTTGAAATGTTTTCCAGGCCCGTCTGTGATGGAAGTGAGATCAGAAGCTGTGCAGATGTGCCCCCGCTATCCTGAACCAGTACCGCTGGACCATCCAATCCCCATTCTGAAGGACGCATTGGAGAAGGTCTGTGAGGAGAAGGGAACAAAGGGAGACAGAGCTCATGACTGCTTTTCTGAAGTTGTAAAGGGGAGAATACGTATTTTGTCCCTGAGCAAAATTTCAGGTTGGCTCTGTTTGCAATGAGGAAATACCGCAGCATTGCCTTGACTGTATGAACCATAAGGACAGCTGTGCTCTGACAGGACAATCCTGATTTTGTAGACCCCTATCATATAATATACCATCTCATTTGTCTCTTTCTCATGAGTAGCTTAATTAGTCACAATAGAAGCTGTCCCACAGCTCTGATTATTCTTTTTTACTCTTCTTTGAATCTTTTCCAACTCTAGCATACTCTTGTATGAGGGAAATCAGTAGTGTATACAGTATTTAAGGTGCAAGTGGATCAGGGATTTATACCGTGATAAACCAGTGTTTACTGTTTTATTTTATGTTACTTCTCTAACAATCCCTCACATTTGATTTACCTTTTTTTCTGCCATAGGAAATTGAGCAAATGTTTACATAGGAGCATCCGTCATAGCCCCATGTCTTGTCTCTGAGTGCTAATGACCCGCTTACTGCCCATCTGTGTGTACGTGTTGTGAAGTTGAGGTTGTTTTCATGCATGCACATTGCTTTATCTGCATTGAATTTCAATTGCTATCACTTCACATTCACTTTTATGAAGTCTCTGCTGCTGTCTCTGGGGTTACTGTAGAGATGTATTTTATTATTCAATTAGTATAGGTCAGAGAGGTGGGGAAATGTCCAGAACATTGAGTGTCCATCAGAGAGTCACCTAATCTCGCTTCTTTGTGCTCCTCAGAAATGAAGTATCCAAGCACTTCTTTGAAGTAGGCTGGTGAAACTATTCCTATTTTGCAGATGGAATAAGGCACAGAGAACCTGAACACTAGATGCATAGGAAGACATAGCTATTTGGAGGCTTAGGCACCAACACCTCAAAAGCGTATCTTCAGATGCCCTTAGGTTCTGCCTAAGTCTGCGGACACTCGAACCCACACTAAAGATCTTGAACTACCTGAGACAAACTAGCATCCTATGCCAGGCCAGGGACCCTGGAACTGGACTCTGGACAGTACCAGATGTGATTATATTACATACAGGGGAGACTTTTTCCTAGCCCACAGCAGCTTGAAACAGGAGATTGACATTCACTCATGGTTGAGGCTTAAGGAAACATTTCTCTTCTAAGAGTAAATACTTTTGCGTATCAGAAAGGCCTACATTTTCCTCAGGAGAGTCTTGCTAGTGGCCAAATCTAAACACTGAATACTGGATTCAATGACACTCAAGTCTAGAAAAGCATCACCTATTTCTGTCAACTTTCTGCAGATGCAGGCAGGTCTACATGCCAGATTCTCTCTGAGAAAACTCTGAAGAGGACCATGCTTTCTGACATGAGACCAGTCTGTTCTCTGGAGTTGCTGCTGTACCTAACCATACTAGACAGGCCACTGGCACGTGGGGAGTGGAGGGCAAAAACCACTACAGAAGGACTCAGCACAAGTTGGATGTTTCCACTGCTGGCTGTCAGTTCACCTGACTAAGTCCATCCAGTGAAGCGGTCCTAAGGACATGGCTTGGTCTTTCTTGTTTCAAATGTTGGGCTTAGAAGGCCATTTCTTATGTCTTAACATTTCCGTGCAAAAGATAACTTATGCATGATGATGAAATAGCTTTGAAAAAGTCATAAAAGGGCAAGACCAATGTGTTCTGCTTGTGGGAGGTGGGCGGGGCACAGCTGGCTCATTAGGTCTACACAACCCTGGTGCAACAGAGAGCAAAGAGCAATCACAACCTTCTAGTGGATTAGTGCTGTTTCCCAGATTGCAGTTTAAACAGGAGTTCTAGATTTGGCTTGTTTCATGACATGAAAAGTGTAATGGGATATTTGAAAAATCTGGATCTTTTTCTCATACATCTTTGGATCTACAATACTAATGCAAAAAAATAGATGTGCACAGTACAATTTAAAAAGGAAGAAATTACAATTATCAGGTTTTAGCATTTGTATTTAATCATATAAGCGTCATAGGTATTACAAGGATGAGCACCACCTTCTTGTACATAGGGGACATGTAGACTGAAAGAAAGATATTGGATAATTCAGCATAAGCAATTAAAAGGACCAGTACAGTTAAAATATTTTCTTTTGCCAAAACACATCTGAAAAAAACACTCTCAAGCACTTGGAAGTAAGGAGGGCTGATGGTCTGGGTCTTTTACTGCCTATTACAGACTAGATGCATTACAAGAGTCTTCATTTGGAAATTAATAATTTCCCATCATTCTCCAGGTAGACATGATGCTGCGCCAAAAGATTCATAGCTCTGGTCTCCCTGCCATGTCTGCCATTGTTATCTACAACGACACTGTGCTCTGGACAGGCAACTTCGGAAAAAAGAATGGTTCGGACCCAGCCTCAGTGTTGCCCAATGAGTACACTATTTACAGGTGAGGCAGATGTATCACAGGCATGAGAACTAGAGAAAGAGCAGGTACACAAATGGAGATCTGGTATGTGGGAACAGAGCCACTGTCACAAACAGCATCTTCTACTGGCTCAGGTCCACTGCAGAAACCCTTTCTGGGTTACACTGAAACTTTGAAAGACAATGCTTTGGCTAGTCCCTAACTTATCATATGCTTGTGGCTTACTGAGTTGTTTACTTTGGATTTTATTTTTTTATTTACTTTTAATTGGTTCTGACAATATTTTAAACAGGAATAGCAGTGACCATCATGAAGAACCTGTAAACACACTACTCCTCCCATAGAAATGTCTCCATGCCTTGAGGAGGCCTAGGGCACAAATCTAAAGACTAAGAGCTAGCACAGATTTTGTGAGCAGTGAGGAGACAGTACCATAATATAAAAAAAAAAAAAAGAAAAAGAAAAAAAAGGAAAAGTTTCAGTTTAGCAAAAAATGGTGTTTGGGAAGAAAATCTACTGAACACATAAGTAGACCTGTAGGCTTATTCATTCTCCTAGTGAAGTCAAAGCCATATTGGCCATTATTTTTTAGATTAACATAGAATCAAGCTCTTTGTGTGTGTTAAAAAAACAAAAACAAATACAAAGGAAGTGTTTAATTCATTTAAAAATCTATTTTCACTGAGTTATAACTCTGCTATGTATGAAACTTATGGGCTGCACTCTGGCTATCCAATGTCCTCAGAATGAAAAATTTTGGAAAGTTTAAGCAGCTCGGATTACCTGTTTTTTTTTCCCTTTTGCCTCATGGTAAAAGCCCTGCATAGATGACCTCATACTATTTCTTCCAGAATCACAGAATCATAGAATGGTTTGGGCTGGAAGGGATCTTAAAGGTCAGCTAGTTCCACACCCCCCACCATTGGCAAGGAAAGGGGAACCTGTCCCTGAGTGGGCTCAAACCACCAACCTTTTGGTTAACCACTGAACACGTTGACCAATTGTGCTGCAGAGACTCCCTCCAAAAAAGTTATCACCTATCAGCATCCTTTGTGATCCAAAATGCGATGGTATCTGATTGTCTTTGAACTTCTGAATTTCATTCCTGACTAATGAAAACACTCTTGGTGAATGCTTTTGCTGTAGTCCGTCTTGTACCAGTCCAAGAATTTCACCTCTAGTGTCACAATACGAATGCCCCCAGGTGCCCCTCTTAATGATGTCACCATTTCCAAAACCCAACAAAATAGAACTGTAATCCTATTCCAGAATATCTTTTGTAAATTTGACTCTATTCTGAAGCCACACAAATATTAACACTGATTATGAAATGTAGAATTTTATGGCATTGCAACCTTAGAATTCCAATGTTATGGTATTTAATAAGCAATAATTTATAAAATATGTAATCTTATGAATACTAAGTAAACAGAAAAAGTTCTGTAGCCCACTGCACAGTAGGAGATACTACTGAAGGTTATGTTGCAGCCCATAAAAGCCAGAGTTAAGGATATTAATTCAAGATTCTTACCTGCATTTTAGCCATTTCCTTCTGAATTAGCAAAAGTGTTGCATGTAAAGTTACAGGCAGTGGGTCAGTTGAGTGATCTCGTATACTGACAATCTTTCCTCTTAATTCATGGGTTTCTTAATGCTTAATTTCTAAAAATGTTTGTTCCTTAACAGAATTGCCAGTGTCTCCAAGATCTTTCCCACCATCATGTTGTACAAGATGTGGGAGGAAGGAAAAGTCACATCTCTTGATGACCCACTGGAACGTTACGCTCAGAACTTTATTATTAAGAACCCTCTGGGAAGGCTCAAGGAATCAGAACAGAAATACACAGCAGATGGGCTCAGTTTTTTGGAAAAAGGCTCAATGCCTCTTAAGCAATCACCTGTTACCTTGCGCAGAATGGCCAGCCAGCTCTCAGGTAAGACAACACAGCTACTTGCTCGGCCTCTGTTCACCACTATGCCACTTGAAAGAGGCCACACAGAGAACAGACCATATTCCAGGGATAAAAAATGTTGCTGTTGAGGCCATTTCCCAGTATGGACCCTGCAGCTTTGCACTTCCCAGAGATCAGGCAGGACCCTTGGAAGCAAGCTGTCAGCAGCTTCATGAAATGCTAAAAGGAAACTCCTGTCCAGGCCACCTGCTAGGAAGCAGGCCAAGCTGCACTGTGGGCTGGGGAATTGTTTTTCCCATGCAAGGTGAATATATATTTCTTCTAACACAGTAGCATGGCTGAAATGAGGCTCCAGTTGCATAACAGCTTTTTGTACTCTGGCCCAGAGTGCTCTCATTTTTCTAAGAGGTACAGTTGAGGGTCAAAGTAGCACCAAACCTCTTTGCTTTGAACAGATAGACCTCGATCACTGAGCTAAATTTAGCTGTCAGAGCAGTTCTTGATCTGGGATTCCTGAGCTATTAATAGCTTTGTACTTGCTGGCAGAAGGCTATTAATCTGCTGCTACCTTCATAATTGGGTAACCCTTACATTAAGGTAGAAGGAGCTCACAGGACTGAGGAGAACTTTAACCTTCCTCAGAAATGGAGCTACTAATACTTGACTCAGAGATTACAGAATTTTCTGGCCAAAGAGACTGTGCTGATATCTCATGTAGCCTTTTGATTACACTCTGTAGCACCTGCATTATTCCAGATTGGAATAAATGCCCTAAAAATAGGATCTAAGATCAAAACAGCCTGTAGGCAAATTGCAGTACCTCAGGACAGGGTACAGCATCACCTGAAGTAAGCCAATGTCCAAATAAAGGTTCCTCATAAAGGAATGATGTCACTGAAATCTGGAAACAAACAAACAACCTAAAGTGGCCAGTGGCAACAGGAGGCAGAAAGAAAGATTTGTGCACAGCCCTGCTCAGCCCCTCTCCCTGAAGACAAGGTCTTGCTCTAGCTAGCCTGATGATGTCCTCAAGGCCACCAACTGACTCTCAGGAGCACCAGAAGCTGGTCTGGCTGCTCCTTGCAGGAGCAGTGTGTGCTGGGGCTGCCAGCTCGCAGCCTTGCTGCAGTTCCCTGTCACCTAACAAGGTGTTAGCTACGCCCTAGAAACACTTGTAGGAAGCATATGTCAAAAGTCTACCTGGCCATAGCATGATTGCTTGCAATGCGCAGCCATTCCATTGCTTCCATCATTATGTGAGATTTGCACCCCTGCTTAGCTCCTTTTATCTTCCTATGTCTTTTTTTAAGAATGTGGCCCAGATTTCCAGACCACACCAGCAGGGCACACCAACCAGCTTGGACCCTGACAACTTAGTAGAAGGAGAAGCACAGTTTCAAAATCCCAACTGAAAATCAAATGAATGTTGAGGTCACATGTTACATTTCCTGTCTGTCAAAAACCAAAAAGGAATAGGTTCGGCTTAGCTTCAAGATCAAAGCCACTGCATGACATATTGTAAAGTGGTTTTCATCTAAATTCTTTCAGTGGAAACTGATCTATAATATATCCTCATTATCTGAGCTTTTCTACATTGCATACTACAAAAGTAACTCCAAAGATTTTTCTCCTCAACAGTTGATGTGTACATTGCTAGAGGGAAGCTCCAGCTTGTTAAGACTATGATTTTCAAGTATATATGAATAACAGTATGAGATGCTATTTTAAATCAGTAACAGCTTGCTTGTCACATCAATTAGCAGCCCATGAGTTATAAATCAATGACTGTGGATTTTCTGTTATGTTCACACATCCTCTGGTTTATCATTTCTAATGAACCTCAAGAGAGACATTGCACTGCTGTCATGGCACTGGTTGAACTCTCCCGGTGGCACAACATTTTCTTTGCTGCTCTTGGGGCAAGTAGGAAATGAAGGAACCCATTGTCTACTGGACGATGCTCAGTGCATCTCTTATCTGGTCATTCAGCTGCACAAATTACCACAGACCAGTAGCAGAAAAAATGCTTTCATTCCAGCTCAAATCCCAAGGTCTGGCCAACTGAGAAAAACAGGTGTTGCTGCTACAAAAGAATAGGGCCTCATTCAGCTTTGCCATGATTAATCCCATGCTCACTGAGAAGACAATTGCGAATCATTTTTCTGTCATCTACCCTTCCTGATTTCCTCCTAACCTCTAAATCAAAGTCAGCTGTAAACTGCAATGAGGATTTCATTCCAGATGTAATCCAAGAATCCAAGTTCTGGACTTGGCAAGCTGTAGTTCCTGTGCAAAGGAGTTGTGGCATTTTGAAAAGTCCTGGCCAAAAGCTTTTAGGGAATCCATGTTCAGTATTGTGAAATTAAAAGTAAAAAGAACTTCAATTTTTCTACATTCAAAAACCCTGAATAAATGTTGCTAAAGCGGAAAAAAAATAATAATATTTTAGGCCAAGCCTGGAATTGTTCAGAGAAGTTTAAGCCCTCTGTAGTGAAGTGTAAAGAAAAAAACCTGTTTAAAGGGGCCATTGCATGTCTTTATAGTCAAGGGAATACAGTCACATGAAAATATGGACAGGGATCTCCCCAACACCCAGTATGCCCTTCTCTTCCAAACTACATTTGGGGATACATGATATTTTTAATCATTCATGAAGGTATTTTTACTGAAATGTAACAGTCCAGAGTTGGTGCTGGGGTAGGACTTAACATTATGCAGATTCAGTGGTCCATGACTTGAATACTGTGTCCGGCAGCCCAGTATGAAGAGGTCCTTGCAGCACATTTGCTATGTGTATAAAGCACTTGTGCGCATCATTGCTGTTTCCATCTTGCCATTCAATCTTGCCTTTTGCTCACTCTTCACTGGACTCAAAGTTTCCTGGACCACAGTTTGTCTCAAATTGTTAACTTCTCTTCTTCCATGTCACAGGTCTGCCCAGGAGGCTGCGATCTACCAGCCTGCTATGGAAGGGCAATACACAAGAAGCTCTAGCTCTCCTGAAAGATGATGTCTTGGTTGCTGATCCTGGAACCAGGTGAGATATATTCACTTATAAGCTTTTGGTCTGGGTTTGTGCTCTCCACTGATATTAGCCCCACCTGCAGTCTCCATGGCCAATGGATAAAAGACAGCCATTACTAAAGGGAGTTCCTGATATCTACCCATATACCTACCT